TGGTACGTGAAATCTGGACCTCGACTATCACATATAACCTCTCCGACATAGCTCTCCTAGACTCTGCTGCCGTTGACTATCACGTGGAGCACTGGACCGAGAGTAGCTCTCCCGAAGTTGATACATTTAACAAGATTTCCGGTTACAGCTCAAAGATCAGTGGTTTCTTCGTGCCTTCAAAACCGGACAACCACAGGTTTTACATCCGATCGGATGACACCAGTGAGTTGTACCTGAGCCTCACAGGGGACCCCGCTGACAAGGTAAACCGTAAACCGGGAATTGACCATTCTGCGATGTTGCGATTTACATTCACAGAAAATTCGACGTTCTTTCTTTAGACACGATATTCGCGCTGAGGTTGCATCGAATTACTGCAGTAAGAGTCTATCAGAACCACGACGTAGATATAAAATTCCTTTCAAACAAAACGTGGTGTTGAGTTTCTGTTGGCCACAAATCTCTTTTTCAGACAAAGATTGCGAGCTGTTCATCCGCTACGTACGATTGGGACAGTGACAATATTCAGGGGTCGGATCCAATCTTCTTAGAGGCAGACAAGCCATATTACATTGAGGCATACCATAATGATTTTGGTGGCGGCCATAACGTGAAGATCAGAGTACGCCTGGACGAAACCGAGCACACCAACAGCAAAGTCGGCGCTGCACGTGATGAACGACAAAAAATTACGATCAGCTCAACATTGCTCTGGGAAAAACAGGTTTGTCCAGTTTGTTAAGAAACTTTCGAAGCTGAGTTCTGTTGAGACTAAACGATTGGTTGTTGTCGTTTTGGGGGGAGGGGGAGTGGAGGGTGGGGGATCCGTTGTTGTTTTTTTTATATACCTTATAGGTCTGGACTTATGAAAACTGTGTTAAAGGTAATTTCATCCTGGTGTTATCGTTTTTCTCTCGCGATATGAAAATTCAAAGGAATGCCAGTCTATTTTCCCTCCACTTTCTTATCTTTCTTTTTGCACTCTTCTTCTTGTTAATTGGTCGCTCGGAGTGATCTTTTCACCTCCAGGAGTCGTAAAACTCAAGCCAGTGGCTCACTTAGTGCAAGAGAATGTACTTTTCTTCGACTACGCCGTTTTATTAAATCCAGTCATATATATATTGGGGGAAACCTGTGTTGGATTGGGCTGATTTACTTGCATGAGACTATATACCCAGAGTTCCAGATTAGAGAGAGCTCTCAGATCAGAAACCAGACAGAAGGAGGTCAGCTACAGAACTGACTCAGCCTCATAGAAAACTTCTGGTGATTTGGTGAGGTGTGGTTCTGTTAACCCTTTGGAATTCCGTCTTGAGACCTCGGCTTTAAAACTACTCTGGGACACTGTAAAATAACAGGAAAGGACTTACACTGTTGGGGTTTTTTAATGGTTTTCACGAAAACGGTTTGTATTTGGCTCAGCGTGTTTTTTGGATTTTGTTTTCAGGTGTTGGACTTCAGCAACTGGGACGCGAATGAAAGAGTGTGTGAGGTTCAACACATTTCAGTCCAGCCGTTACTGTGCGCAGAGAACAACGTCACGTCTTGTGGTAATCACAGCGATAACTTCACCTTGTTCTACCATGGCGAGAGTATAACGCTGTCCTTACAAGACACGAACAGTTCCGTACTCGAGGAAAACCTGAACGCACTGAGTACTTTTGAAGGCCGCGGTCGAGTTAATGTAACAACTGTTAATAGTACGGAAGGAAATGCCACGGTATTCCTCGTTTGGTTTTGCTTTGCTGACCCGCGAGGTGTTGAAGTTTTGAACGGAACGGCACACAATAACCAAAGCTTGTCGCTAAATATAACACGATTGGTGCAAGGACGATCAGCTGAGGACTTTCAACTGATCGTTGGTGACGAGACATCCGATTTTCTGAAACCCAGTTCATCCAAAACGAAGATCGAGGCCGTACTGACAGATTTTTTTTCCAAACAATGTGACGAATCTTCTTTGAGTAAGTGAAGACAGACTTAAACAGCGTAATACACAAATCCACATGAATCCAAATGCTTAGTTGCCCATGTATTCAAACCATAAGTGCTATTTTTTCTGTGCCTATCTGTCTGCTTGTCTGCCTGTCTGTCTGTCTTTCTGTTTCCCTGTTTGTCTGTCTGTCTGTCTACCTGCCTGCCTGTCTACTTGTCTGTCTGTCTGTCTATCTGTCTCTCTGCCTGCCTGCCTGACGGTCGGTCTGTCTGTCTGTATGTCTGCTTGCCTGCCTGACGGTCTGTCTGTCTGTCTGTCTATCTGGCTATCTATCTGTCTGCCTGCCTGCCTGACGGTCTGTCTGTCTGTCTATCGGTCTGTCTGTCTGTCTGCCTGTCTGTCTGCCTTCAGTCCTGTTATTTAGCCGCTTGTTTTCTTTTTTTCCTTGGCACGACAAATGTGATGACAATTTAGTAACATACCTGCACTCCTTATTTTCCTCTTTATAGAAAATAATAAGTTATCTGCATTAACAGAACTGACTGTTCCTTTCTTTCCTTTTTTTTTCTCTCAGATGGACACATATTTTATATGAAGTATGAGGATGATGTTCTAGGAGAAGAATCTGGTGAAAGGGTTTCCGATGTGGAGCCATTCTGTGGCAGATTTTCTTTAAAAAATCCATCGATTCTTTGGAAAGCTGACTACTCGGCTTACCTCTTTGACAATCCTCAACCTCCATATAAAGCCTCCAGATACAATTGGGTGAGTAGAAAAGACATTTTAAAAGAAACGTCAGTTTCGAAGTAGAGATAAGGTATCAGGCTGGTTACTGGCGTGCGACCACCTTGTACAGCCAAATCGATAATGCCGCACTAAAGTACTGCTCAATAGCTTTCATTTGATTGGTCACACACTTGAGTTTCATCCACAGACCTAAGCTACAGCTACCTTGTACAGCATAATAAACAGTACCAGTAAACGTAAAAATTAGAACTAATTTGCTCAGCATGATAAACGGTACTACGTGAAAGTACTGCTCAATAGCTTTATTAATAATAATAATGATGATGATGATGATGATGATGATGATGATTAGTATCTTAAAAACACATTTTAGATCACATGGAAGTCTCAATGCTTTTTACAGTCCTTTTACATAAAAGCCCTAATTAAAAATCCCTAATTTGAGAAAGCTCTCTTAAAAAAAGTTTTTAATCTTGATTTAAAACAGTCTATAATGGAATACTGTTTAATGACATTTGGCAAGTCGTTCATTTGAATGAACGAACACTAGGGCTTCAAATACTGACTCGGACTTACACTTTAGAAGCATAATAAACAGTAACCACATGGAATTACTGTTAAGTAGATTTTATTTGAATGTTTTGAAACTATTTTCTTATCTTATCCTCGTTTAGGTTTGCTTCGCCTACAAAGGCCCAATAAAAGAAGTAGTGAAACTTCAAGTGAAATACATAGACGACTATGGCGAATTTCGATATTCTCATCGTTGGTATGACTTCGTGAGAGGCTCTTCACAACTTTCAAACTGGGGGTTTACCTGCATAGATGTGTGGCCTAAAATCAGCGATGAATTTCAAATCCAAGCCCCGTTTGTTGAAATATACTGTATCGAAATTGAGCGCTTGGAGGGATTCGACGAAGACGTGTTTGTGGATAATGTGTGGATCGGAAAGTACGATTTAACTGGTAAGCAAATGTTCTCGGTAAAGCTTCGAAAGTAACGAAGCCCTTAAGTTTAGATATAAAATTTTATGACTGTTGTAAATTGCTGAAGTAACAGCCCTTCTAAAGCAGTGAGTAATGACCTCAAACGTAGCTTTAAAAGTTGAAAGAGAGAGTAAAGTGCCTTGCCCAAGAGCCCAACTCAATGACCCCGGTCAGGGCTCGAACTAGGACCGCTCAAAACAGAATGCTGTGTGCCAGTCACTTGGCTACAGCGCCTCCAAACATATCTTTAATTGTAAGAAAATAACGGTGAGAAAATAGTAGATACAAAGAACAGTGCATCAATCATTTTATCGAGACGTTAAGTCTTTTCAACACCTTCCATCCATTTGATCCGTACATTGTTGTAATGCACTATATATACACACAAAACAAGTTATGGTTATATTCACCTTTTTGTGTAACGATGTTCTACATCTTTGCGTTTTTGACCCATGTATGTTACCCGTTTTATTTACCTGGAAAAGACCCTAAAAAAGAGCGAGGTCCCCCGGCAAAAAAAAAAACCTATAGTCTATGTAAAAGCAATGTTTCCCGTGTAGTTTTGATTCTTCGCAAGGGAAAGATGGGTTTATATCCGGTAACATTTATTTTAAAAGCGTAACATTCAAATATGATAGGATAACATTTTAATATTTTGCATTTTCAGTAATACCTATTAAAAACGCCGCCAAGCCAAACGGCTTTCTCATCAAAGATTTTACAGTTGAAAAGAACTCGGACACAAACTGGACCATCTCTCTCCTCCCTGCAAACTGTGGCTCCCCCCTGCCATTGCTTGCTATTACAGACGCCATCCGCGATGGAAATGGCGATGCCGACAGTGCCACATATACTAAAG